AAATCGTCATATAAAAGGTATCGCAAATACAGGTATTGCAAACAATCGTCCATCCTTGACTCGTGGCACGTACCAACAAGAAATCGTTCAAGCCGAGCAAGCACGTGTATTGGCACAAGAATGCATGCGACAAGGAGCAGATCAGGCAGCTACACAACTAAATCTAGTCGCTGATAAATGCGAACGTCTAAGGGTTATCCATCGATGCTTGAGTAGTTTAACTGCTGAACGTAGCAATTTTGATCAAGAAAGTCCGACAATAATACCACTTCTTCAACAAATACGTGATTATGAACAGAAATATGGAAAATTAAACTTTCAAGGTGGAAATGTCACCCAGCAACATTTAAAATTATTTGATATCGCTCGTCAACAACAATAATCATAAAATACATTTTTTTGTTACTTTTGCATAAAAATTACAATATATTTGCTTTTTGAACCATTTATCTAGAGACAATTGATTTTGTTTATTTTTGATTACAAATGATTTTACATTTTCACATTCAAGAGTTTATGACTCTTTATCTTTATATTCTTCTTGCATAAACATGTCCGATTCTTCTGGATCATATTTATACCAAGGTAGATTCGTCGACATTATCGGAGAGTCATCTTCCCAGTCTAAAAAAACGGCAAACCATATGTTCTTGATCAGCTCGATGAGCTCTATCGAACCATATGCGAATCGATCGAAAAAAATGCCTACTCCATTTTTGTATTTGGTGCACCTTATCCATGGTGCATTGAACAAAGTAAATACGCCTAAGATGCATGAAAAGCAAACTTGCACACAAATGTTTTGGGACTTTATGATACATATTCTGATTCAGTGTTCGATGCTGATCGCAAATATCACCTGCTCAGTCCTCGGAACCCCTTCCCAGCCGAGAAAAACTTAAACTACTGAGAGGACCTCAAAAAACCGTCCTCTATAAATTGACTTTGAGGTTGTATTACAAGACGGAAGATTCGAACTACATTTTTCTGATTCAGCATTGAAAACTGATTTAGAAAAAGGTTTTCAGTTTATTTCAGAGGTAAACACTCGTCGGCCATGGACGTCCGAACCAACAGCCGTCAACTGGATATGACTCATTTTGTAAACCTATCTAGCTTTTTGGGTGAAAGGCTATACCGATGATTTACACACCATCAGATCGGCCAGCAAGCTTTAAAAGTATGAAAAGCTTTTTTTAAATTTTGTTTAATAGCTGAGAAAAATCATTTTTTCTAAATCAGAGGCGAGAAACTTGGAATTCTGCTAGTAAATTCTCACTTCAGAATCAGAATTCAACTTTTATGCAATAAAAGTATCCTATTCGGAATCAGGATCAAAAACTGAGCTGATTGATATGTATTTCTATCCTGTCCAACTACTATGAATTTTTATGTATTGCATAAAAGGTGTGATTGAAAAATTTTCCAAAAGAATTTCAAGATCTCTAGGTTTTCCGGAATACCAGGATTTTCAGAAATCTGTTTTTTCAGATCCTGTGATGGTACATAGATTTTTTTGACTGATATACATAGAACTCAACGAACTCTTTCATTTGAGACTAAATTCAATGTTCTGCGTTAAGGACGACAGTTTAAACAAGTTTTACAAATTAAGTCAAATCCTCTGGAAAGCAGTGATTTCCGCTGGAAGGATAAATTAGTCATAACCATTTTTTCTATAGAGACGGAGAGCTACGTTTTTGGCTATTTGATTCAGCTGGCTGAGTTCTATTAGAGGAGGTATATCTCGTTTTTTGCGCTGATACTTCTGTATACAATCTGGTGGAGAAGGGTGATATCAGTACAGATCAATAGATTTTTGAATAAATCCCCTTCGACGATAGTAGTGAAAGAAATAACAGCATATAAAGAATATTATTCATTTATTCTGCAGACACGACAAACTGGTAACATATATTTTCACAGAAAATAAAAAAACAAGAGTCACGTAAGTGGATTCAAATATAGTAATGAACAGCCTAATCGGAAGAAAAACTGCAGTACACGATCTCGGTGAAAAAATTAATACGCATGTATAGCAGGCAGTAAGAAGATGTCCATGTTGAACGAAAAAGTCTATTTTCGCTGTTTACATCAATTATATGACCTTCAGAAATCGTTTTCCTACCACTACGCTCAGGTCTATTATAGGCGAGAATAAAGAGTGGCGTAATCAATTATTAATCTCATATGATTTTGATTTGACTACGATTCAATTTCCAAAAATGAATAATTTAGTACCTAGTGCATCGAGTGAATTCAATACCGATGAAACAATATTGAGTTTGACCAGTGACGATCAGATCCTTGTACCAAAGACGTCATCTCTGAATGATAAAATGCTGGACAGTCGAGCAAAACTGATGAAATGGTGTGCCTTGCTATTATCAGTACTCACCGTATTTATCACCTATCGTTACATATCCATCGTTATTCTCGCGGTTTGGTTAATAACTATTACTCCATTGATGGACTTTCTCGCTCGGTATCTTCCACCCAAAAAGCGGACATCCAAAGAAACACGTTCTCATGCAATAGCAGCCACTCTTATCATTGTTATTGTGCTTCTCGTCATAGTACCGATTATTTTGATCATTATTGCACTATCAAATAGCGCGTTTAATCTTGTTTTACACCTAAGTCAATCTCAAGGTTTACGAAACGCTATCAATTTCATCGCCCACTTCAAATTCGACATAAGATTTATTCGATTTTTCATCCCAACAAGAACTAACAGATGTCAAGAGTTTTGGCGGACAAACACTAAATGTACTAGGAGTCGTGGCTAATGCAACAGGCAATTCGTCATTGGAATACTGATATTTCTTATCGCTACTTACACCTTTCTTGTAGAGGGCCCCTCGCTATGGCAATGGATCATTCGACATACTCCACTATCGCCAAAACACATGAACCGATTATCGTTAGCCTTTCACGAGACTGGGCGAGATCTTCTCATAGGTGTCGGGTTAACATGTAAGTAATAGGCTAACTCTCTGTCTGATGTCTTTCTAATTTCTGTTAAATATTCAGGTCTAGTTCAAGGAATTGTGGCAGCTATCGCATACGCATGTTTACGTATCCCACGTGCATTTACCTTGAGTTTACTTACGGGACTTGCCGCGTTGGTTCAAATCATCGGCACAACCATTGTATGGATTCCAATTGCTATCGGCCTAATTCTACAAAGTCAATATGTCAAAGCAGGCATTATGGTCGGTGTTGGAGTTTTGGTTATTGGATCGGTCGATAATCTATTGCGGCCCTTATTCTCAAAATTGGGAGCATTCAAAATGTCGACATTACTACTGTTACTATCGATATTTGGTGCAATTGAGATGTTGGATGCATGGGAAGCTCTTTTAGGTCCGGTGGTTGTCAGACTTACTACGAAAGCTGTAGTGTTAGTCAGAGAGGACCAGGAAGAACAAGAACAACAAGAAAGTAGTACTAGAGATAGATAAGTAACTTGTTTTTTGTACGTTATATGTAAAGAAGGTTCTTTTGTAACAATTGTATTATAACGAAAAATGCATCACAAATGCATTTTGATCATACCTGTACCATGCGCTTGAAACGCAATTCATTCATTCATAGACGAAGTAAACGTCGTTTGTTTTGATTTATTTATCTTTTTTTGGAAAAATTTGTGTTAAGTAATACCACAGTAAAATCCAGCTTGTGCACCGTTGTCCAGTATAAAATGGGTAAAAAAGCAGAGACAAAGAGAGAAATCTGGATTAAACTTTGATCAAAAACAGTAAATGATTTATCCACGCATATTCTAAAGGACAATACTGTTAAAGTAATTAATTATTCATACCTCAATTTGTATGTGTTCATCCCAATCAATTCAATGCACTAATAGATGTATACAAAAAGAAAACAGATTTGTGACTGACGCATCATACACCGTTTACTTCATAAAGTATTCATAACAAAAAATTCTAGAATGAATAAGATTGTACAACCAACTAATTAATATTT